TCTTGTCCCACTATCATATTCAGCCTTCATTTGGGTTTCAGTAATTCCTCTCGGTTACATTGCCCTTGATCAAGCCCTACCAGGCCTCACCATCGATTTTGGATCACTTGTGGTTCCCTTGTCCCTGGGCTTGTTAACACCCACTTCCTTTCCCTCACCCCATCCCCCTTTTCCATGCCCACCCTCCACCCCACTCCCTGCAATCATCGATCCTGTTGTTTTCTCCTCCAGATTGCTTATCCTGCCTATCTTATCTAGATAGACCTGCACAGATGCTCAGAAAACAAGACAGAGCAAAGCAAAGCAACAAAACCCCCCAAACAACAACAACCACAGAAAAGCCTGTAAGCAGTTCGAGGTCTGTTTGTTGACCTTTAGGAGTTTTTCCGGTTGAGTCTGATGGGGCGCCACGCCCTGGCCCACAGTCTATTTTTGGTGTTCCCGGGGACTTCGTTGCTCTGCTCCCCTTGCTGTGCTCTCGCACACCCTTCGTGTTTTGCCTCGGGCCAGCAACGTGTCTTAAAGACACTGCGTCTTCCCCACTGAATAGACTTAGACCCATGTAAAAAATCCGTTGCTCAGAGATGGGTGGATTTATTTCTGGGTTCTTGTACTCTATATCCAATAAAAATGCTATGAAACGATCCAGTAACAAACCAACATTGAACATTGTCTAGGAGAAGCGGCATAAGGTTTAGAGGCAAACCGAGATTCAAATCCCAGAGCTGAGACTGGGAGGCTGTATATGCCTGGACAAGGTACTTACTCTCTCTGAGCTGCAGTTCCTCCCTGTGTAAAATGGGGATTAGGAGGCTCACCCAGTTGGGAGAGGCTAGCTGGAGCGGACAAATGTAAAATGCCTACTGTGGTACACTAAGGGTGCCAGTAACAAGGGCCTGGTCTGCCTGTCAGTGTTTCGGCCTAAGACAGAGACCAGGTGGACTAGAGGCACTCTGGGGTTTATTCTGAAGAGTGAGACAGGAGGAGCCGAGTGCACAACCTCCAAACTGCTTCAAGAACTCAGTGAAAAGTCAAACAAGTCCTATCCCTTAAACTATGTGACAAAGGGACAGATTTTGCACTGATCCCAGGAAGTGGTTAGCAGGGTTGTCTGTGATCACAGGATCCCAAACAATGTGACAAAAGAAGCAGGTTTTCCAAATGAAGGCTGAGAAGGATGGTGGGACAAGAGGAAAGTAAAATGAAATAGAGGAAAGAACTAGGAGGCAAAGGGCATTTATAGAGGTTTAATACAGGCATGTACATATGTACATATATTTCTATATGAGGATGGGGAAATAGATCTATGTGCATTCATTTATAGGTTTAGTGCTAAGGAAGCAGATGGACATGGGCCTCCACTCAAGTACTCCCTCAATGCAAGAACACTTTGTTCCATTAAACT